TTTTTTTTAAAAAGGATAATATCAGCCATCAACCAACACTAAAACATAGATTTTTTGTGTGTGGGGAGAGTGGTACGGTATTTTCAGTTCCTTTTAAGAAACATATTTTGGTATTATTGCTAGAAGTAGTAACTCAAATAGAAGTTCTTGCAACCAGGTCTGTGGACCTGCCTCTCTTTTCTCAGGTACCATACAACTTCACTGAACATATTGACATAAGTCTCTGATCCACAGATGCATAGAGATATTTACATCTTTATATATGTTTTCATTCCATTGATCAAATGTCTCTCCTGAAGAAAATAATTAATATTTTTAATCTACATAAATATATTTTATGGTTTCTAGACCATCTTAGAAAAAAAGGTTATAAATCCAAAAGCTTAAAATTTGTCATTAATTCAAAATTCTAACAAAATGTAGAAGTTATCATTGATAAGTTTTCAAATAAAAGAAATTTACATTTATTAAAGCTCCTTTAACCATTAATACACATTAATCTCCTAAAAAATTCCAATTATTTTGAAAAAAGTCAAAGTACTAGTTTTTGCCTCAGTTCATTCCATAAAATCTCCTTGGATCAGAAGTCTCTGAAGCATTGTTGTTATTCTTCTTTGATTATTTTAAAGAAAAACAATTTCTAATTCCCTATTTTTCTTCTAATTTAGAAAGCATATGCTTATGCTGATGAAGATGAGGGTCGACCAGCAAATGACTGTTTGCTCATTTACGACCATGAGGGAGTAGGTTCTTCCGTGGGTTCCATTGGTTGTTGCAGTTGGATTGTGGATGACTTAGATGAGAGTTCCATGGAAACTTTAGATCCAAAATTTAGGACTCTTGCTGAAATCTGCTTAGACACAGAAATTGAGCCATTTCCTTCACACCAGGCCTGTATACCTATCAATACTGATCTCCCTTTGCTTGGACCTAACTACATTGTTAATGAATCTTCAGGAATGACTGTTTTGGAGGCTGAATTCCAGGCAGAAATGGCAGGGCCTAAGCCCATGACTCATGGGGATATTATAGTGACTGAGACTTACAATACTGCTGATCAGTGTGTCCAGCCCACTACAATTGTTTTTGATCCTCAGCTTGCACCCAGTGTTGTAGTAACTGAAACAGCAATGGCACCTGTCTATGATGTTCAAGGGAATATTTGCATACCTGCTGAGTTAGCCAACACACACAATGTAATCTATGCTGAGAGAGTGCTGTCTAGTCCTGGTATGACTGGCACGAGCAATAGTAGTATGGCTGATGGTTGTATCGGACCTGTGATGAGTGGCAGTATTTTGGTTGGGCCTGAAATTCAAGTGACCCAAATGGTGACTCCAGATATTTGCATAAGCCAAACAATTGGCTCCACATCCCCAATGACATCTCGACACAGGGTAACACAATATAGCAACATACATTACTCCCAACAGTAAGTGCTTTATGGTCAGCATTGTATACGGAGACCTTACACCTCATGATCACCAATATATCCATCAAAGATGTATAATAACTGTGCTATATTTAACACGGTAACAGTCAACAAATACTCTAAGTTCCATGCTGCTCTTTATCATACCTTTTTGGAAGGTTAGTATGGCTAAGCATTTTAGATCTGCCTCTTTTAATTCTTTCTAATTTTACATCATGTGCCAAAAAGTTTTAGGAAAAAATGTTACATCTTTCAACACTATGTCTAATAGCACTCGACTCATGGCAAATCTTGCAGTCCATAGAACCAGTCATGTAAACCATTATGACCTTGAGCTTGGAGTCCCAAAAAGACATTGTCTTCATTCACTAGTCATGTTTTTTCTTTAGAGAGAAATTTCTATTAAATACATTTCGAAAAAGAAAATGAAAAGGAAGATGGCGCTTCTATCAATACAGATCTGAAGGCACTGGTCTCTTTAGTTTCTCAAGATACGCAATAGTAGGCAAAAGACTTTGCTAGATTAATGCATCACTGGAAATGATTCATCCAAAGGAATTATATATATATATATATACACATACCCATTTAAATCAATATGGATGAATTTGGATTGCACTTTATTGATTTATATCATTAACTGTAAATTAATTTAGAATAGAAAAACAATGCATGAAAACCCTACAGCAGAAACATTCTTTGGGGAAGTACTGGAGTTTTTCTCCCTTACAGGGAATTTTTTTTCCCTACTCTTGCTAATTATGTCAGAAATATATACAAAATACAGTTTAATCAGTTTCTTTGATTGACCTCAGTCATTGAGCTTTCATTTAGCAACCAGGTTTTCCTCGGCAGCTACTCTGTATTTATTCATATATTCAACAAATATTTACTTAGAAGCTTCTATGTGTTGAGTGCTGGTCTTGACTCTGTAAATATATAGGTGAAGAAGAAAATCATAATTCCTGCCTTTATAGACCTTCTAATTCTTTTCTATACCTGAAATAAGACTTTGGGGATATGGCTTCAAGTTCCTACCAAGAAAAATCAACAAAATATTTAGCTCCACTACCAAGTTGTGTTTCTCTTCCTAACACTACTATATTGTGTTGAATGAATGAAATGGAAAGGTGCAAATAGGTTGCTTATTTTTGGTATGCACAAAGCTGGCTTGAAAGAAATAAATTGTAGCAAGATAGTTTTATTTAATTCTGTAAAATATGTAAACTATATAGTAGTAACTATAATGTGACTAGTAGGGCAATGTAAATGAAATAAACATTTTCAGGGCTTATTTATTTTGGAAGGAAATAATTGTGGTGCTTCTTGTTTATTTTTTGTTCCTTTATAAATAAAACTATCATAGAATTTGAGGCATCTCACATAACCAATTGCCCAACTCTCTCATTTCACAGATAAGGAATCTAGAAATAGAGAGGTTAATTTACCACAATCGGCTAGCTGTGGTACAGAAGCTTGAATCCACTGCTCAGATATCCATTGCTCAGATGGCCAGTGCACTTTTCAATGCCATAACTTTGTCAGACATTGAGAGGATACAGTTTTGCCCGTTACATGGTCTTTGCTATTTTTCAGTTGGAAGGAAAAGTATCCCGCAAAAAAATAGGTTTTGTGAAGTGTAAGTAAAGAATATAGAGTCCCTGGGTGGTACAAATGGTTAAGTGCTTGGCTACTAACTGAAAGGTTGGCAGTTTGAATCCACCCAGAAGTGCCTTTTAACACTAGAAGATTGTTTATATATTTTTTAATTTTTTCCAGATTATGTGCACAGCTAGCTGCTATAACTTTAATTATTCACAACCAGTAATCTGCTATATTTTACTACTCTATAATTTGATGAAATCCACAAGGTTAGCCAAGGAGTATTGGTGCCACATTCATTTTAACACTGAATCAACACAGCATTCGATTGTATGCATTCGATTCTGTTGCATATCCTGATGTAGTTATTTTTCTTTTGACGTCTGCATTCTTTTAGGCCAATAATTCTAAGAAATATGAAACAGTGAATAATTAAATATAAAGCACCAATAGAGTTAAAAACTGAAAATACAATGAGGCTTGGGAAATGAATAATAACATAGTACCAAGCACTTAACTAATAGATTTAAAAGGAGGTGAAACTGTTTGTGAGGAGGATAAGAACATTTTTCTGAGACCTTTTTGTTCTATCTCTGTGTCAACACACAAAGACTTAAGGGTGCTTCCCAAAAGAGGAAGTCTACTAGTAGATGCTCCCCCGACCCCCAGTACCGTGGAAACAAGATCAGAGGCATTTCATTTTTTCTCTCAATATTATCAATGAAGAGGAACTCCTCCATCATGCCAAGATGGTCATTATTGCCCTTATACGACTCAAGTCTCTGGAACTGGTGTATTTTTAAGCCTCATCACAAACAAAATAGAAAGCATAAAACAAGGTTTCCCCTTCACTGCTTAAGAGTTAAGGCATTGATTTGGCTAGGAAGTAAAGAGGATACAGAGATTATGTTAAGGTTACAGATAAACCTAAAAGCCCAGAAAATGAGATTTAATAAATAAATATAATAGCATATAGTCTTAGTCACACTGCCCCATAGAACTACTTGAGGGGATAGCATTATTAAATGAATAAATGAATTCTCTTGGAAAAGTCTTATCAGGTAACAGGAAGGGAAAACATTAAGAACATGGACAGTATTTATAAACTTGTTCCAGAAAAAAAATATTTTTTAATTTCCTCTTTTGGACTAGATATTTCCAATTGTAATGTATTACTTAATGTAATAACATTTTATATATTTCTTCAATAAAAAATATGTGATAAGAAAAAAAAGTTTCACTTTCTCTTTGGTGTTTGCACACACAGACACAAGTATATAAAATCTTTTCCTTTAGGATTTTCTTAAATACAGAATTGTGTTACTATGCCATTATCATCTATTCATCATTTGCAGGTAGAAGATCACACTCCAGAGGCATGGGTTCATTTATAAAGTGAAATTCAGAATCATTTATTTGTGTATTATTGTAGAATGTCTCAATAGAATCATTATTTTACTAGTAAATGCTCATTATAAAATAACAAATCAATTGAATAAACTCTAGATATTGTTCCAGATATGGCATAAATTTCAGGGTTAAA